GGGGGGGGTTGTGTCTGGAAATGTTTGTAAGTAATTCCAGAGGTGTCTTCCTTGAAGATAGGCCACGTCAATGAACATGGTCAGCCCCCCATACAGCGCTTTGACATAGCGAGGTGGGTCCTCCTATACTCAAAGTTATTTTGAAATAAAGTTGTACAATCCCTACCCCTTCCTGAGGGGGGACGTCGAAAATTGTAAATTACATTTTCCTATCCGTAGGGCCTCAAAAAATGTAATTACATTAACTTTGGTGGCCTCAAAAAAGTAACTTGCATTTTTGAGGCCTCATGGGTGATTTCCCGGGGAATGACCTCAAAAATGTAAGTTACATTTTTGAGGCACAATGGAGCGCTTACATTTTTAGACACCCCCTATCCTAGAAGTTGAAACTTGACACATGTAACGTGACACATTTCCTGTTCTGCTTTGTTGATGATGACTCATATTTTTGGAGGCTATGCTTTCCTTATTGGGAGTATTGGGAGGCATCAGTTTGTCTGTGTGGGTGTGCCCTCTTTCCCTTTCCTGTAGGCTTTTTCTGGGTGTGCCTGCAATATCCTTTAATATCCTTTAAGTACTTTTGTGTGGCTTGTTGCTGCAGAAAGCAAACATGAGTAACAATCAGCAAGAATATCAGCCACAAGATCAGCCACACACACAAAGCCAAGACAAAACAAAACCCCACACTAAGGTAACAAATCCTGCAATATCCCCATCATTTAATTACTTTTGTGTGGCTTGTTGCTGCATGAGTCATCATCAGCGAAGAATAACAGCCATAAGATCAGCCACAAGATCAGCCACACACACAAAGCCAAACAAAACAAAACCCCACACTAAGGTAACAAATCCTGCAATATCCCTTAATATCCTTTGATTACTTTTGTGATCTTTTGTGTGGCTTGTTGCTGCAGATAACACACATGAGTCATCATCAGCAAAAAATAACAGCCACAAGATCAGCCACAACAGGGAGAGGCTTGCCACCTGGTTGCGCTTCGTGACATCGGACATGAGTGATTTTCAGCGTGCTAAAATGTAAGTAATGCAGGGGGACACTCCAGTTCCTTGAAATTCTGGGAAGTTGGGCATGTGCTAAAAATGTAACTTACAATTTGTGAGGTCCAACTTGATCCCAGAACCCACGTATTCCCTGCAAAATCTGAGGGTTTGGTTGCGTGGACTAATTGTAAGTTACAATTTTTCACGTCTGCAAATCTCACCTGTGTCCTTTTCCTTGGCGTTGATGCATCAGTTTGTGCGTGTGTATCATCAGGATTTCCGCTTGGCTTCATTGGTGGCGTCTGGAAGCTTGCGCCGACAGGGAGGGGCCGTGGTGGATGCTTTGTTCAAAAGCATCATGCTCAAGATCAACCGGAGAGGGTCTTAAACACATGTAACTCTAAGCCTGCCAGGTTGCAACTTACATTTTTTAGACCTCCCACACATCCCTTCGATCTGCCAACACACCCTGGGGGGTGGTTTTAAAAATGTAAGTTCAGGCCTCCCAGGTCCCAAGTTACATTTTCCAGACCCCCCCCCTCCCCCGATCTGCCGACCCCCCCAGGGGGGGGGGGGGG